CGGAGTTGAGCAGCTGGGAATGTGCGGCTGAGAGCCGACTTTAACTTTTGACGCACATCGCTCAGAAGGTGATCGCCCTTGAAAGATAGTTTGATGTAAACGGCTTTCTTTTTTTAATTCTAATAGCCTGTCTAACTGTACATGTCCGTTCTCTATGATTTACAGTTTCAATGTGCTGTAAATGTGCTTGTTTGTTTTACGTCAGCGATTGAGAAGATTAGACGAAATGTTAACATCTCGCGACGTATGTCTTCTTTCGGTCTTGATACGATGGATAAAGGGGACACAGTGATTCAAATATTCTGTGAGGTCAACGAATGCTGTACACAATTTATTTTCCCAAATGCTGATATTGCAAAGCTTGATTAAGGAACGATAAGATGTGGTGGTCGTATGCTGTGTCCCATAGTGATTGGAAAACGTCTAGTCAATGTGCCCGTATATCGTCAAACCATTTGACACATCTCATACAGCCTCAAGTGTTTCCGTATACCATGCGATACTCCCGTGAGTAAAAATCTCAAATTTAACAAAAAGTAATACAATGAAAAGGGAATACTTCAGTGCCGTATCCCTACTCAGAATGAACTCCAGTTTTTGAGATGGGTATACATTAAAAGGTTGAAGACAATAAACACTGTTCACAAAAAAATAAGAGTCTCGGTTACTATGCCTTTTCCAATCAAGCCTTAGCTTTGAGCTTCGACTGTCGTCATGGTATCGAATGTTGTATCGTGAATAAACGGATGATAGTAATGGGGCTGTAATTTTATGAAGAATCCAAACGCACTGCAACACCGACATACTCAAGAAGAAAGAAGAAAGATACCTCCTCCAAGTGTTCGCTCGCACTGGCTACCTTCGCAACTTCATCAAAAGAACTCTGGCTCAAATAAAGAAGGAAACAACACACGGATAATCGGGAACAAGAACGACCCTGCCGTACATCAAGGACGTTTCGGAAATGACAGCAAGACTTCTCGCCCACAAACCGATCGCCTATCTAAAGGGGACTTTTGTCAAAACCCGAGGAGAGAGCAATGGAGAAGGACAAGAGCAGCGTCAGCTACAAAATAAACTGCAAGAACTTTTTAAGACCCTGTATCGGACAAACTAGGAGAAAACTGTCAACAAGAATCCGTGAACACCAATCGGCAGTCAGGAGGCATGACCCACTATCCTTGATTTCCCTCCACAAAGATCAAGAAGGACATCAATTTGATTTCGAATCAGTGAGAATTATCGACCAAGCCCGGTCAAAACACGCCAGAGAATTTCTCGAGGCCTGGCACTCTTCAACCAACTCAATAAACGGGCACATCGAACTGGTTTGTGGGGTCTTGTGTTCGCTGAGCTTGGCGTTTAAATCGCCGTACCGTCTTCAAGGTCAACAGCGAGAACAATTCTTAAGGTCAAATCTAGGGTTGGAATACTATAAACAAAGACAAGTACAGGGATCAATACCAACGCACTGACGATGTCGCCTCGGCTGGTGATGAAACGTTTGTGATCTAAACGCCAAGCTCAGCGAACATAAGACTCCACAAACCATCAACCTGAGCTACAAACCACATCCATATTCAAATCTGTTGAAAACATCGAACTGGATCACGTGTACACGCTCATGCAACTGAAGGACCAAATGACGCAACAAAGGTCACGCCGTGACCTGAGAACGGACGGAAACCGCAATGGGGACGAAAGGCCAACTTCCTCCCCTCCCACCCCCACCCGCTCGCAGCAGTTCAACGGCGGATCGAGTCGAACACAGTGAGAACAGGGGACGAAAATAGAAGAAGGCATCTAGAAACGAACGAGTACAGGCAGAACACTGCCACTTCACAAGCACTGATGATGATGTCACCTCGGCTGGTAATGATGAAACGTTTGCAAACAAATTGCCAAGCTCGGCGAACAGGCGAAATGGAACGATGTTTATTATCTTCGGATTGTTAATGTATCCACCTCTCAGAAACAGAATTCTTTTTAGAATGGAGCGGTAAGCACCCATACTTTTTGTGGTATCACGTTTTTTTATTCAATTTGACAGGCTTGTTAACGTAGTGAGGGTGATGATGATGATGGCGGTGATAGGAGTTGTGGTACAAGTGGTGATTGGATTCCAGCACACGTCCTCCGGGGTGATAATTTGGTGACATCAACCCACAAGGGGACCACCGCCCGACTACTAACAAAGCGGCAGTATTTTTCTCATGCTGGCGCAGGTAAAGTGTGCCACAATACTGCTTGAATAAATTAGCCTGGGAAGAAATTGACGGTATCATGATAGCTAAAGATTGGGATTAATGTTTAACCAAAACGGATCGCCCCCGGATCGTGATATCTTTCGTTGAAAAAAATAATGTTCTGTTAATCGCATGAAAATTTTTACTGTCAGTCCATAGAACTGTTTTCATTGAGGAGAAAGAACAACAGAAGATGACGAGAGTTGATTACAACAAAAGAGATTATAGTATTGTTGACATCACCAAATTTCACAAAACAAAACTGTTTGCCATATGAAACTCACATTTTTATGGTTTCCACAGTGTTTAGCGCTTCGTCTCCGATCGGGAGGGCATCAGTTTTTAGATCTTTCGACCACAGCGAAAACGGTTTCTTCAATGACTCCAAGGACGCTTTGCTGACTGTAATTAGAAAACAGCAAACCATTGGTAACCACTGTATGTCGTGGCTCATATGCATACATACATTGTGGGGTGAGTGCAGTCATCCAATACGTGGCGGATCGGGCAGCGGGTTCGTTCGATCAAAGCTGTTGCAGCGCGGATAGCGACAAAATGCTCTGAACGTGTTTTACCTGTCCCGCCTCTTTCTTTTGTTCATCCGAGGTGTGTCAACAATTCCAGTTGTCCCAATATCATATCATGGTGTCCGGGACTTATTTGAAGTTGTCTGATCATTATTTCAAGATGTTCTCGGGTCATTTCAACCTGTCGCTTAGACCTCACCGGCGCTGACAAGCCCCCCAGTGATGTCGGGTTGACCACCATGCAGCACTGATTTCTCTACCTCCCGTTGAAGTGCAGGGGACGATTGTGAGACGGGCTTCGGTCATACACGCCTCAATTCCCATGACATACATATCGGTTGTTTATCTTGCTAGTAAGCATAAGCCTCTCTCTCTTTGTG